CTTTAATTGTTTAAAACATGAGCGAATGTTAGGTTACATAACTCTAGCAAGGAAAAAAATCATGTAAGCCACAATAATACAAGAAGAACATTACAATTTTTCATTTACATGAGACTTCAATAATAAAATCTAAAAGAAAAAACAATAACTAATCTTAAAATATAATAACTAAAATATATTATTAAAAGGAGTCCCTTTAGGCAAGGTTCCGATGATACTGGCAGCGTTCCCCCTTTGAATCGCTAGACTAATTCTTTGTCCGAGGTAGCTGCCAGCTCTTCGGTCTCCTGTGATGTCGACTAACCTTTTTGTTATTTTTATAATATGCCTTATAGCGCTAGGACCCCACGGACCAAGGGTCTCGATACCGAATGGGACAAAATCATATTCGGAGCCTAGACCCCTGTATTTGCATCCTTAATATATTTTCTAAAGCACAACATAGTAACGGCAACCGTTTAATACAACTTTTGTTGCCATAATCTATTTTCTACTAAATATCACAAAGCCGTTGTTCTCATAAAGCACTTGAACGCTGTTAATATGCAATATTCCAAAGTGGTAACCCAGCTCGTATGGGTGAGTGCCAAGCTTGATCAAGTGTTTAATTATCTAGCTATTCATAATATTATAATTCAAAATTCCGTTTCAAATATATTCATGGGATTTTTTATTAGTTGTTTTTTCTTCAACAGGTTACTAGAGACTCCAGCTGGTGCCTGTGGCATTCAGCTTTGGGGCTGTACAGCGGAGAGCAATTTAGGAATAATACCACTGGAAACGAAATGCTTCGGGATATTGTCTATGCTCCATGGTATATTAAAAATGAAAGTACAAGGATCCTAATGTGGAAACAGTCCTAAATACAGCGAAACGGTTTGCTTTAGCTCGCCTAAACAGGCTACATGTGAATGCTGTGTGTGTCAATACATTATAGAATACTAAGACTGTTATTGAACATTACCTCAGTGTAAACTATTCACTAGTTTTTTAAAGAATTAAGTCAACGCAATTACTTATTAGCCATAATTATTATATAGGCTAGTTTGATGATATTTGAAGTCGTTCTCTAGCTGGAACCTAGCAATACAGACCTACCTACATAGGTTGTATTCATTAACATTTATCGCCTATGGATTGTTTTCGCCACATTTTGAATAACATTTTTGATTTAAATTCAATAAGTGAACTTATTAATCACCTGATACAATTTATACTTTTCGTATTATAAGATATTAAAAAAGCAGTGTTGCACTGGCCTAGTTACTCGACGGGCGTCTCTCATTCTTTAAGTTGTAGGTTCAGTCCCCGGCTATGCACCAATGGTCTTCCTATGTGCGCATCTTACACTCGCATGCACATTGAAGGAAAACATCGATACAAAAAGTCGATGGCGTGTGGCAGGCCCAGTTGATCACCTACTTGCTTATTAAATAAACAGTGTCTTGTACTAACAAAATTATCTGCGTTAATGATTTCAGGTTTTAGCTACTACAACACAAATGTTTCCATTTTCCTCACTTAAGTTGGTGTGAGGAAATATTTTGGGAAGCGGAAAGAGTTTGTCCAGTTTTTATTTATGTATACTGTACTTAATTGACTTATGTTTTTTTGTTTCATATATTTTGTTTATAAATGTAATCTGTTTTTGCTTTGTATATTGTCCAAGTGTTTTTTTTTATAATGTAGCTGTAAGATTACTTATAAATAAATTAAATAAAGGAAATTACCATGAAACAGATACAGAAAAATGAATCCCAGACCCTTTTGGGTTATAGCGCCACTGGTTTTTTTAAATCATATTATAAGGTTTGTTTAAAGAACGATGTAGTATGGAATCTCATGAATTTATTTCATCATAATTTCTTTCACAATCAAAAAATTAATTAGATTTTATTAAAAAAACTACCAGCCTGGTCGGTGCTCGACTCTTTTATTGAACCCTAATCAAAATGCCTTTTCAGAAGGCAATTTCATGGAAATACTATGTTAATGGATCAAACAAAATTGAGTAAAGATATCGATAGGTACGCAATCCATAATAATTACATTGATACTAACCTAACATTGTTTCTGGAAAGCCTTTTCTACGCTTATAATAGAAAATAATTATTTCTAGTTAAATATAATACAGTAAAAATAAAAGTACTAAACAATTAATGAAAGAAGCGTGGTCAATATAAAAATTCAAAGTAAAAAATAATATACATTCATAGACCATAACCATTTAAATAAATTATGACTGTTTTAATTCTCACACAAGTAAACACAAGGAAGAAAAAGACATTTAAATAAAATCTAATTAAACACAGGACGCTGATCACCTACTTGCCTATTAGATTGAGAAATTATCGTGAAACAGATACAGAAATCGTCACAATTTTATTAAACATAAACTATTTACTAAGAAAAAAATATAGTGTATTTACAATCTTAACCGACATAGTAATAATAATAAATAAAATTTAATAAATAGAAAACAAAAACAAATTAAAAAGTTTCGGCCCAGTGGCAGTGCACTTTCAATGAGGGCATTTTCTCGCTGTATTGCGATACTTATTCGTTCAGCGAGAAAAGCACAATTTACATTTTAACGAAATAATTTGTATCTTCGTAAAGTAATAAAAACCAGTTCTAGTTTGGTTCAAACTCTCTCAACCTAATCTATATATATAACATAATTAAACGTAAATAAACAAAAGACAATATTAAAAAAAATATAGTCAGTGTTTATTTTGATCATATTGCATCTTTGAAATGCCTTAACAAGGGTCAGGTCGATGTGGGTCAAGTTGACGTTTCCCACTCTTTCTTTGTGACTCGACGTCACTGGAGTTGTATGTCGGAAAGTCCATCAAATTTTACGGTCAGATTTTTATTAAATTATACCTTATTTACAAAAACTTGCCAAAAACACTCATACATTGCTAGGTACTAAACGAAAAATATTACTTTTAATATGCAGGCATTTCCTGTCAAACAGAAGGAAAGAATACATCAAATCAATAAATAATAGTAATAAATAAATTTGTTCGTGTTTTATTTTTCCTTCAAAGTCAAAACTTAAATCTAATATATGTTAAACACTTTGGTGATAATGCATCAACTTAAAAACTACTCGACAGATTGTAATTCTTTCTAAGCATCCGTTTGTAAATGACGGTTGAAAGTCTTGTGGTGATCTTAATTGGTTGACAATTGACGTTCTTTTAGCTATTCATGGTATTCGCAACATTCTCCCCCACCACTCAAATGCCAAAAATTTGGAAAATACCAAAGTTCTAAAGAGCCTATACTTATATCTCGTAATTATAAAAAAATGTATATCGTATATATAATGTATATGTAATGTATATCGTATATATTTATACATATATAAATATCGTAATTATTAAAAAAAAAACCAGTCGTGGGAACAGTCAGTCTCGTGACCTAGCCCTAAGTATATATTTAATATGGACATTGACAGCTGACATTTGACATACGGAATTTCCCTCTAACTTGTGAGTGCCCCAATAGTTTAATAATTAAAAATAATTACTATGGGATTGCAACCGTTGTTGTATGTTAAATACTGAATATTAATCAATTTAAATTGACGCAATTAGCAGTAAAAGTTTATAATAATAAAGCTTATAATCGTCGGTACGTCAGACGTACGGTATCTGAGCTATAAAGTTTATAGTCAACATCACGAGTTTGACGAATTATTTAAAATTACGCGTGTGATATATACTTTTATTACTGACGTCTTGAAATTTTGAACAGGCGATTTGTAACGATTTCGTACAAACATTTCAAGTTCGCGTAATAAATAATCATTTATAATTATAAATTATTTTGTTAAAACAACTTACATTTAGCCACTTCTTGTGAAATCAAATCCGCAGGTAATTGCTGTAATTTTTACTGATTCTGATTTACACATTTACGTAATTCTTGACATTTCTGATCATTATACTGAAATTTTAATAAATATTTTTTTATTTTTATGATTGGACAATTCCCACCAATTGACCTAGTCCCATGCTAAGCTTGTGAAGCTTGTGTTATGGGTACTAGGCAACGGATATACATATATATTATAGATAGACACATAAATACATATTTAAACACCCAAGACCTCAGCACAACACCAAATGCTCATCACATCGATGTTTGTCTCAGCCGGGGATCGAACCTGGGACCCATGGATTCGCAGTCAGTCTACTGACCACTAGACCAATGAGCCGTCGCATATGATACAGAATGTTTTTTGTATTGGAGATGACCAAAAATATATCTATGTAGCCAGTTTACTAGTTTATTCAATACTAAAGAATTTTAGCGTTCAATAAAACGAGGGAATTGTAGTGATCGAAGCAAACCCGTTTGTTTATCAATCACAGAACTCCGTAATGTACTTCTGTTTGTTTTTACAAATGATCAAAGTATTGTTTCCGAGCTAATGGAATTCGAAGTTCGAAAAGTTAATTCTGGTCGTTGTTAAAGATTAATGGATTTTTACGATAAATAAAGGCGATAATTGTATTAAATAAAAAATGCAAACGTTTTATTTATTTGCACAATAACGATACGCATGTAGACACAATTATGACAGTTGTATGATGCCAATTAAGGATAGCACAGACTACAAAAAACATTAAATTTTGAAATTGGAATTGCACGTAATATATAAAATAATACGTAGAATGTAGTGTCATCTAGTCTATGCCTACAGGCTACAGCACAATGTGAATGCCTACAGTCTATGGTAGTATTTCGCTTCATTTTTAGAAATCAAAAGTATAACTTTAGCAATCTCTTCGTTTAAAAAAATATTATTTTTGAACATTCAAAGATTGAGAGGTAGTATTAAAATTAGTCCAAACCTCAAAATAAATAACGCCTTTCTAAATGCTCAGACATTTAGAAGTTAAGATCTATATTCATACAAATTAAGACAATATGTTTTATTCGTTAATTTTATTACATTTTGTCGTACAGAATAAAACGATCGCTCATACAATTTCAGCTGTCTGCTTTGTACTTTGTCTCAAAGTGAATACATTGACAGTGTCACTCACTTTTATAGCGTGTTCATTTTTACGTAAAAAGTCGTGTCTGTACGTATCTTTTAAATTACGTTTTCATTTTTTCACACGATTGAATCTGTATCCCGCCATTTCCCCTGCCTTCACTCAGATTGATGGTGACATTATAAACCTATACCAGCCATCCTAAAAAAGAACGTTAAAAACTCTTTTCTTTTATTCTTCTATTTTCTGCCAGATACATGGAAACGTGGTTGCTACTTATATATTTCATTAGCAATATTTTTCATAAAGACAGAAGGCTCATCTTTTGTTAGGAACACTGGCACCCCGAGAGCACCACCAGCAGTTATGGTCTTTAAAATATACTAAATATGTATAATAAAAACTCACCGGAAATCCAGGTCCCATTCCATCTAACAGGCACTAGCTCGTCCGTAACCAGGTCCTGTATCTTCAACCTTCTGCCCTTCACCCTAGGTCCTTCATCGGGTGGGGTCAGAAGCACCACGGAAGTCACGATCAGGGCCAGCACCAGTACTATGACGAGTAGGGCTATGAGAATACCACGCCAGTTTCGTTGGTTGGGGCTGCCTACCACCAACTTCTGGAACAAAGATTAAATGAAGGATTTCGATATTTGTATTTCAATTTCAAAGGTAAATATTTGACTTTGATTAGTGCCAGTATATTATAGGAACCGGTCCATGTTTGTAATATTAACGTAGTTATGGTAACCATTGTGGAATTAGCTGATAAATATTGACCTTTTTTAATGCACGAGAATGTAAGTGCGTGCTCCTAATTCACCATGCCTCCTGCTGATAGAGAATAAATCTTTGTTTTTAATTTATTGTTTATTATTAATTACTTAAGATGTCATGTGGAACATGGTGTAATGGTTACAGCTCCTTACAAGCATTGTGTAAAACAAAAAACTTATCGATTTAAAAATAGTGGCGAGAGTTTATTTTAGTTCTCTTCCGTTCTACGCCTTTAATTTTAATTTTTTTTTCTTTCGTAAATGTTTGAACTATTTTTACTATGTATTCCATCCTTGACTATATCTTTAGTATAATTTTTATGTTATATATGATTTATGTTAGCTGTAGGACTACGAAACAAAGAATACCACCAATTAAGGTACCTTTATATATTTTTTTAGTTCCATTTATATAGATAGTTAGTATCCATCAAATGAGCATTCGAAAATAGCCTCAATAAAAGCAAATATTTAAAATACGTTGAAAGTACTCCTGAAGCGTGGAGCATTTAGATAGGTTAATAAATAAATCTAGTGTAGCGAGCGTTATCGAGACAGGCGGAAAACGGGCGATTTATCAAACGATACAATACAGCTTAGTTTCACGATATATTGGGTGCTTGTTAGCTTCATCGATGGAAACTGCGATAGACTGAGAGTGATTCCTTATTGTTTGGGAAAGTTTAGGAGTCATGTTCACAGAGGAACTATTTGGGCGTGTACAAAAACCTTGTCCAGGAGTTTTAGAAGATTTTTTCGCGTTCTTATCTATTAATTATTGTATCATACCTGTGATCATTTATTGCCTGATGACGCAATAGCTAAGCGCATCTTCGTCTCCAAGGGACAAATATAACTTTACTGTAATACTGATTTAACATCTCTCCCTGTGAATTAAATGTTTTGATTGCTTGAGTTTTGAGGGGACAGATAGTCAAGTTGCCAATATTCGAAACGAACTATGGTTTCTGTATGACATATTTTTTATAGAACTGGGGGCAAACAGGTAGGCTCATCTGATGTTAAGTGATACCGTGGACACTCTCAATGCCAGAAGGCTCGCGAGTGCGTTGCCGGCCTTTTAAGAATTGGTACGCTCTTGAAGGACTCTAAGTTGAATTGGTTCGGAAATACTTCAGTGAAACCAGCTGTTCACATAGTAGCATAAACTGCCTTAAAAAACCCTCAGTTGTGGAACGACGGACGTCGAGGTGATACGGGTGGTATTTCCCCTTGACATCCGATGATGAAACTCAAATGAAAGAAAGAAAGAAATGAAATAGTTTATTCTTGCAAGTAGACTTTCCTTTTACAATTCTCCTCTAATGAAGCGCTTTCCTAACTACTCCCTGAGAAGAAATGCGAAACACGGGGCTTATCTCTTTTATCAGTCAATATAAATTTAATTGGTGTAACAAATGCAGTTTACTATGTCGGCCGTCTGCCCTTCCCGCACTCCCCGATAGCTCTCCTCACCATTTGAGACTCCCCCTCACCTCCCCGTGCCCATAATATGTCACCCCTCCCCAGCCCAAATTTTACTAAATTTCAAATTTAACCAAAAGTTGCCCCATAGTTTACACTTACATGGATACAAATGTATTTTTAATGTCCTTCAAGGAAAAAATATGAAATTGAAAAATATAATCGTAATATAAACTTTTCACTTGGCTGTCAAAGTGTAAATTTGTTGCCACTTTTAGAAAAAAAAAAATGAATCCCCTGTCATGAATAAAATAAAAGCAATGCAACACAACATGTCATTTAGTTGTACAACATCAAAAAAAAAAAGTGAAACGCTAAAAAAAAAAAACACAACGATAGCTGTATAAGCGAGCACTCAATCCCAGGCGTTTCTATCATTTAAATAATCGGATATCCTGTAATTCCTTTAGTTAATAATTTTGATTTAATAAAAAATTTAAATTTCTTAAGGGAAGTTTACGAACATCCATAGGAAGTTTATTGTAAAAGCGTATACATTGACCCATGAACTAACTGTTAAATTATTTTTTGTTCCTAGTATTTCGGGAGTGAAGATCAGACAATTTGACAAAATCAGGTTCGTTTTTGTGAACATAAAGTAAATTTTCAAAAATATATTGTGAAGTTACAGTCAGAATGTTTATCTCTTTGAATTTCTCTCGGAGAGAAACTCTAGGACCCAGGTTATATATAGCGCGGACAGCTCTTTTTTGTAATAAGAAGATTGTATTAATATCCGCACAGTTTCCCCAAAGGAGAATGCCGTACGTCATCAAGCTATGAAAATAACTGAAATAAACAATTCTGGCTGTATCCACATCAGTAATTTGTCTAATTTTCCTTACAGCATAAGCAGCTGAACTGAGCCTTCCAGACAATTTGTTAATGTGTGGGCCCCACTGTAGTTTGGCGTCAACAGTAATGCCAAGAAAAACAGTTGACTCAACAGGGTCCAACTCTACTCCATTCAGTTGTACATTGGTGCTTAACTGCCTCACATTAGGCGTAGAAAATTTTATTAATTTAGTTTTACTTGAGTTCAAAAGCAGATTATTAACATTAAACCAATGGACAACCTTAGATAGTGCCAAATTAACTTGGTCAAAATTTTCAAGTTGACGCTTAACTTTAAAAACAAGCGAAGTGTCATCCGCAAATGTCATTGATATAGATAAGGAATAAGAAAGGACCAGAATTGAACCCTGCGGAACACCCATAGTTACCACAATCCTTTTGATTTTTTGCCATTAATATCTACACTTTGTATTCTATTGTCTAAATATGAACTAGAAGTCTAGCCTTATTTCTAATGCCATAGTGGTGTAGTTTCTTGATAAGTGTGTCATGGCAAACACAGTCAAAAGCTTTGGACAAGTCACAGAATATGCCTAAAATCCTGTGAATTCTCCCAAGCCTCGAATACATTTTTGAGTAGTTCCACACCTCATCACATAACCGACCCTTAGTAAATCCAAATTGTTTGGAATGAAAAAATTCTGTCTGTTAAAATGCTTTAGCATTTGCTTTAAAATTATTTTTCTCAAAAATTTTGCTCAGTGTAGCAAAATTGAGATAGGGCGAAAATTCGCAGGACGGTTGTACTACCAGATTTGAGAGTGGAATCACCTTGCTTAACTTCATTAATCCGGAACACACCACACAAAGTTGAACACAATCCGAAATGGGAATACATTCAATTATTGAGGATATTATTTGAACTACAACCCCCAAAGATCGGTGGACTTTTTACTTCCAAATCTTTAAATGCATCTAATGTCCCCTCTGTAATTCAAAACTTTCCCACTTCTCGACTCTTTAAGTATGTTGTATGCGGACCGGAAGACGACAACAAAGTTTGAGTTGTTAATACAGGAATATTAGTGAAAAAATTCAAACCGGTGCCACCTCCAAATCGCCCTAACATCTATATCATTAATTTTAAGATGAAAATCATTATTCTTAACTGTGGTTCTTCCTATTTCAGAATTAATAATATTCCAAGTAGTTTTAATTTTGTTTGCAGAAGATTGTATTTTGTTTTTAATGTGTAAAGATTTTGCGGCAGCGCAGGCTCTCTTAAAAGTCTTAGAGTAATTTTTAACATACTCCCTAAACCTTTCACTATGATCATGGTTCCTTTCATTATATAATTCAAATAATCTTATTCTGCTTTTAAAAATACCTGGTGTTGCCCATCACTAAACAAAACTCGATCACTTACAGAAACTGATCTAGATGTAAAAACCTTCTTAAACTGAGAATTAATCATGTTAAATAATGAAGAGTAAGCTGGCAGGGTTATTGTGATAAGGCAAACCAGCAGTTTTTCATTTTAAATTATTTTTAAAAATTCTAAACGATAACTGGTTACTGGAACAAAATTAACTTTTTTCGATTTGCTTTAACAATGTCTTTAGTAAATGAAACCACTCCCATGTCTGAATCTAACGATTAATAATTGAATAGAAAGTTGGCTTCACATTTGTAAAAACATTGTCAATACAAGTGGCACTGGTGGCAGTTATTCTAGTTGGCTCAAGGAAAATATTATATAAATTATATGATTTCAATAAGATTAAAAATCTATTAACAACACTAGATTTATCTAATAAGTTAATGTTAAAGTCTCCACAGATGGCAACTGTTTTATTAGTATTAGATATTTTTATTAATACATCTTCTAGATTTTTTTCAAAAGTATCATATAAAGCACATGGGGGCCTGTATACACTCAATAAAATGAACTGCTCAAGCTCAATACATGCTATCTCAGCAACTCGCTCAACAGACAGGCTCACTATGTCTGTACGTTCTTTAAATTTAAGATTATTCCGAGCAATAATTAAAGAGCCTCCACGTATTAAATTAACTCTGCTGAACGAGCTGGCTACCAGATGATTGTTGAAGCTGAACATGAACTGGTGGTCCTTTAACCAATGTTCAGTAATACATAAGATATCAATGTTATTACAGTTCATGAACAACTCCAACTCCAATTCTTTACCCATCAAACCCTGAATATTCTGATGTACTAAATTTAAAATATGCTTATTATTGATTTTATTATTGACATTTAAGGAATTTGATGGATCTCCTAATAAACAACTATGACTAGAACTATTGCCAGAGATCACCTCTATTGTCTTAAAAATCTAATTTAAATTACTTGGAACAAATTCCAAGGTATCTTGAATAAAGGTACTATTATCTACCTGCTCAATAGGAGCAGATTGGTTAGCCAAACATTTGGCTGCGTTCAAAATACAATATGATAGCGAATTTGCTACTTGTCCAATATAATAATTACAAAGATAATAGTTATCTTTTGTCAAAAAGTAATTATAACTAATGATGACATTAGTGTCAATAAATTCAAATTGTTTATTATACAGTGTCATTGTATGAATTTTATTATTGCATCTGTACCTAGCATTGTTTTCGGTCTGTGATATACCTTTTCCATAAGGAAAAGCAAATAAGACAACTTTATTTACATTAAGTTTTGATAACTTTTCAAAATAACTGATTAACATATTAACTGTTACATCACCTCTTCTCCCAATTAAAAGTCTAGTTGTGGATGAAACTCAGCTGCAGGTTAATCCGAATAACTCCTCTGAACACCCTCCATGGTAAATGCTGTAGGAGATGCAAAGAGACCCTACATCAAGCCGTTTGGAAAGTGACCCGTTGTCGATGATTGGAATCGCTCTTCGTTTGCTAACCTTCTTCAGTTCTTTTCGACAATGATTTGGGAACTGTTAAATGTAATTTAACCCTTACATTGATTAAAATATTAACGTTCATATGTGTACAATATGAATAAATTTTGATTGGATTTGATAAAGTATAGCAATATTTGTTCTTCTTACACAAGCTTCTTATAAAAAAATATGGCGCAAAATACGTATATGTACTCACGA